TTATTTTCATTATAAGTTGTAATTATAACTTAAAAGAAACTTAACTTCAACTACCTGATCAATGCAAATACAAAAATCTAATGTTATTTCATTTTATTCAATCAATAAAAAAGGAAAACATCTCTTTTATTAATTTATAAATTTCTTGGGAAAAATAAATAAATAATTATTAAACAGTTATTGCCTAACGTCATAACTACTATGCAGATGAGTGGAAACCACTGAAATGTAATAAACCCATTGTATTCTGTTGACCTTATTGTTGTTACGTTCTGTTTAAACTCGTTTAAGTAACTGTATGTCATTTCTATTTAAGCAGTCTTTTAATTCTGTATATAGAGATGTTTTATATCTTAAATTCTTACATTGTATGTGTTGGTATGTGCAAAAACCACAGATAACCTGACAAAATTAAGACACTGACAATTTAATTTGACCATTGATAATAATGCTGATTTATTTGTGCATTAGACTTTGAAAAATATATCAATCAGAAAAAATAATGAATATAAAGTAGTGAAATCATTCATAGTTCATAACAAATTGAAATTCCTTAATACCGTGGATTGCTTAGAGTTAGAAATTAACATCGTTGGATGCTGGTTCAGTGATCTAAGGGTTAAACGTTCGCACACGAGACCGAAGATCCTGGGTTCGAATTCCGAGTGTGCGATCTTGGACACACTGATGGGGAGTCCAATACTAAGACAAAACACCCGTCCAGTGCTTCCAGGTTTCCCATGCTGGCCTAACATTGATCGATTCATAATCTCAATCAAAATTCTTTAAAAATGGGTATTTCCTCGCGAATTTAAACCGAATCAAAAACTGTACAGTTTCCGTTGTGTGGTTCAGTTGGTGTAAAAGATATGGTAGAAGTATTTGGAGTTCTGCACATATTTATTAAAAGTTGTTTTTTAGTCACGAGTTTAAAATAATATGATAGCTAATTACAACTAAACCGCCATGAAAAACCTGGAAGCACTGAACGGCCATTTCGTCCTACTTCGGGACTTTTCAGTAGCGCGCACCCATGATCCCGCCGACGGAACTCGAACCCAAGATCCTCAGTCTCGCGCGCGACCGCGTAGCATCTAGACCACTGAGATGGCCAACATTTAACAGTGTTAATGGCTAACTTCAATCGATCCATAATCTTGACTAGTAGAATTTATGCGGGGAATTTGAAAAGTCTTCATTTTTTTATTTATCAAACAGAAATTTTAGATATTGACAAACTGTGGATTTACTTATTTCTTCATGAAATATCTACTCATTTTTGTTTGATTTTTCATCCGGATTACTAATGACTGTTTAACATTGTCTTTCCTTTATTGTATCCTTATTACTTTTTTATCCTTAAAACGTTTTCTATGGGTATATATCAAATATACTTTTTTTTAATATTTTGAAATTTTGTGAAGATTGTACACATTTCTGTGATTCGAAGATAACACTTAATAGGTGGATTAGATTTGGTATATTACATAATCTTATTTCAATTATAATTCAAGTTTAACGAATATAACTCGTGCTATTAGTACTAGGCTGTGTAGTCATATTTCTGAATAGAAGATAGCTTGCTTGAACTTCGTAAAACTATATGTAAATGTATGACTGAGAAAAATCTGTTTATATGTGAACATTTTTTTCCCTGGATTTTAGAATTATTCTGATTTGTTAATAGGTAGAATTTTACTAGCTCAAGGTTTTATTTTAGTAAGTTTTGACTTTCGGTTGTGTTTACTATTTTTCTTAAAAGACCGACTCGATTATTGGTTTCTTCTATCAGTTAAGTTGCTGTTGCCAATATTTTTGTCAGTCCATGTAATTTTCGTCTTTCTTAAATTGAGGCAGTCTCAACTTTGGTATCACTATATCACCTATATTTAATTCAGCATACATGTGTATGGATTTCATTGATGATTCAAGTACAGTGAAACAAAATTATTTATATTCACTTAGTATGTTGAAATCATTTACTATCATTGGTTTGTTGCTACCTATCTATAAATATGTATGTACAAGTTCATATGAAGAAATTCATTTTGTCCTTATTTACATCTCAATATATATAAGTTATCCTTAGCTTCCATATTATATTATCTATGAAATAAATGAACGAATATGATTTTTTTCACATACAGCACGCCATTTACTCTCAATAATAGTGGGTAGTATAAATCATAAATAGTATTAGATCAGTTTTACTGACTAATTCTCTATTTTCGTGTGTTTTTTCTTCATAATAATGTTTTTCTTTATTAGATCAAATTACACATTTAATAACAATCCATAGATCAATAGACCGTTTGAATTGAATAAAATTTATATTAACGTACTAAAATAGTAATCGACAACATGAACACGCTCACCCAACGTATATAAGTAGTATATTAGGGTAAAGAGCTGCCCAGAAAATTATATTTATTCTTTTTAATTGTGTTTACATAAATATTAAATGTTTTCACTACTTTTTGACTATTCATATCTAATATTCTTCAAGTAACAAAGCAGCTACGACATGCGAATGGATTGAAATTTTGACATTCATCTTATAATTCTAGTAAAATGTGTTTTAACAAACATTATTTGTGTGTGTGTGTCTAAGAAAGAGAGAGATAGAAAGAAAGGCAGCTAAAGGAGAATGATAAGGTTTATTATTTTTTAAGTCATTTAGACTCGACACTATGGAGAATTTTAAACATTCCAGAAAAACATTAATCATTTGAAATATACATAAAGTTCATCATTATCATCATTTTCTTCTTCATTATTATTTTATAAAGTAGATATAATGATGCCCTTTCTATAACTAAAGATAATTTTTTTAATAAGTTCAATTTAACTAAAGGTTAAACATAATACGTGACATTGATACTACTAATAATAATAGTAATAATAATACTACTAACAATAATAATAATGATAAAAAACATTTTTTATCAGTTTTGTTTGTTGTATATAAGTTAGATATGTGATTTCTTGACAATTTTCTTAAACAATAATTTGTTACAACCATATGGTATATTAATTTAACTGAACTAATAAAGTTTTTCTTTTCTTTTTTTTTCCAAAAATTTTTCTTTATCAATTTATGTTATCGAGTATTAACTTTTTATAATTTTAAAACAACTAACTTAACTCGTTATAAAACATAATTAATCAGGATAAATAAATTAGATCATCAGATATATTTATATCATACTATAAATTCTCTTCTTCTTCTTCTGCTTCCACTTCTTTATTATTATTTTCTTTTATAGTCTCTATTCTGCTTACATACTATAATGACAGTAGATAAAGATTATTTTATTCATCTTTGACCTATGCATAAATATTTGTATTTCAATTTTAAATCATTCAATGTTCAATATCTAGTAGACACAGTTTTAAAGAAAACTTATGACATCAATTTTTAAAATAAAGTTGGATGCCGGCTCAATGGTTTAGTGGTTGAGCGTTCTCGTTTGAGACCGTTAGGTTTTGGGTTTGAATCCTGAGATGCGGGATAATGAATGCGCACTGCTGAGGAGTCCCACGATAGGACGAAACGGCCGCCTAGTACTTCCAGGTTTTTCATGTTGATCTAACTTCAACTGACTCATAATGTCAACTATTAAAATTGCCATAATATTTACAAAAAATTTGATACTAATCAACATATGCTTACTAGTGACTAGCTTCAAGAGGTATTTCCTGGAGTTCTAGTAAGAAGCCTTGACCAGTGGAGTATAACGAGGCCTGTTGGGAGATATTAACTCACTGAAGACAATCGTGGATGTGTCTCTCAATTTCGTGGATTAGTTGGAGTTATACATTGGATGCCAGCTTAGTGGTCTAGTGGTTAAGCGCTTGAGAGCGAGATGTCATCATTAAACAAAAGAAAAATAGGAACTTGAAATTAACATTCATTAAACAATAATAATTCTGATGAAAACCATAGTTGTCAGAAATTTTATGATGATGACATTCATTTTCATAATTCTTTTACTGATTAACAATAAAGTTTATGGTATGTTTATAGTAGAAATTTATTTTAAATATAATACTTTCATGATAAATGATGTATACAAAGTGTGCGAATCATCAGTAATAGTAAAATGAAAACTTGTCAAAGCATGATACTGAGAAGTTTTCTTCTTACTCAAAATTGAATTTATCAGTACTTATGTCTACTTCTGCCATGTAAACTGGTAGGTGATGGTGAAATGTATTTTATGAAATAAATAATAAGACAACAAAATCTACAAAATACTTTAGAAATATTGTTTTAAATAGTAATGGAATATAGCAGTAAAAACAATTTTTTTATCTTAATACTTTTGTTATTTTGACTTTGACATTCCAAACAACTCCCGGCGTTTTGTAACAGCTTAACTCATGATAAATTGGTGAACCTATGACTGATATTTAGTGTTACTGCAACTGAGCCAAGGAATCTGACAAATTATTTATTACAATACTATTGAAACTGACTAAAGTGGGAGACAGGATCTTTGAGATGGAATAAGTAAATAAAGCGGTAACACATCGATCATACCAAACAAAGGATATATTTGATCACAAATAGAATGAAGTTAAATGCTCAGTTCAATAGACTTCTCCTCAGTAAATGAATAGCATCGTGCTCTACACGATGATCAAGCGTCTTACTCTACGTTTTGAAATTAAAATACATCATGACTAATATATATATGTATTCTTCCTTAGAAGAATGCAAATCTCTATGATCATAGAACGATAACTATTTTCTTTATTTCGATAGAACTGGACAATCTCTGTATAATTTTGCAAGTAACTACGCTGGTTTATGATAAAATGTAAGTTTGCCACATTATGTCAAGAACAGAACTACGAAAACATGTACAAGCACAAAAAAGGAACATTCATTTTTACATTACTTCAGTTGTCAGTTAATATTGCTGTATTATACATACAAACCTTAATAATTATTAATCAAAATGCGTGTTGTTTACTTTTTCTTTTTCATTATTTAGATAATTTTATTAAGAATTCAATTGGTCGTAACGTCTTGATTACATCCGATAGTAGGAAACCAAAAAGGATACGTACAGCTTTTTCACCAGCTCAGCTATTTCAGTTAGAAAGTGCATTTGAAAAAAATCATTATGTTGTCGGGCAAGAACGTAAAGATTTAGCTACTGATTTAAATCTAACTGAAACTCAAGTGAGTGTTTGTTTTTTGGTTGAAAAAATATCTAATAACTTGTTAACCATTTCAATTAATGTCTTAGTTATGACCAGTTTATTGAACTATGTAGATCTTTGAATTGCTTCTAAAAGGTTAGGATACGCATTTGTGAATTATTCCATTTTTAATGTAAATTTACAAGATAATTACCACTAAAGTAGAATTATTAAGGAAGTTCTGAGTACTGATCTATGATAGTAATCGATGAGGTTCAAATGCTTCGTAACATTCTGAAGATAAGCTTAAAATTATCTAGTATCACTGATTACGATCGTTTTTAAATAAGCAAAAAATGGTAATCACGTTAGTTATGTTTAATTTTTTATAATTATTTTGGGTGTATTTTCTCTCGGAAACTAACGTGAGCTAAAAAAAAATACGTTTCTGTCTGGTTTGATACTTTCCAGCTAATATGCTGATGATAGCACACTGCATCTAGATCTGACGATGTACGCAAAACATTTAGACTGATAAATGGGAATACAATGATGTGCGTTTTAAATTTTAGTCAGTCACAGTCTTGGTTGTTTAAAGTAATATGGATACATTTTGTCCTAATATGCTGACTTAACGAAATTCTTAACATTCGATTATTTTGTTACTGAACACATAAAATTTCCGTCTAATGTCAAGAAAATTTTCAATAAACTTCTGAGTAACAAACGGGACGATTGAATTTAGAGATCAATAGCTTTTAATAGCACAGTAGCATTCTTATTATAAAATCAGTGAATAGCAAATGACATTACATAGTGTGAACAAGCTAGATTTTATAAATGACATTGTTGGAAATTTGATTTTTTAGAAGAATCATTATTAACACTGAGTGAGACCCTGTGATTTAACCACAATTGGGATGAAAGAATTCCAGCTATCATATCAATACTAATAATAAAGTTAATTAACCATGGAGATAAAATGTTAATTCTGGGTATAGTAGTTAACGGCTTAGAAAAATGAATACCGTGAAAAATGAGCAACGAATTCTAAACACAAATGGTGAACCGATTTACAAGAAATACAAGAGCTAAATAAATGTAAATCAGACATGAAATATTTTACTGTCAAATAATGAAGAAATTTCCGAACAAAAACTATTTAGGAATATGCAGATAAACTGATATGCTAATGAAGTTTCTCCAAAGATTTTTGCAGGAGGTTAACTTATGAAATGCTCGTATTCTGCTTCAATAATATTTTTCTGGAAGTAGTTGTTCAGTTATAAGTGGTACTTTTCCATAAAACTATTGTGTATCAGTATTGATCAACATGAGACATGATTTTTCGAAAATGTATTATCTTTCCACTTTGTTATACAAAGTGTATATATAAACTGTGTCAAAGAAAATGATTAAAATTAAGTAACTGATTAACAAAAATACCATATTCAAAATACAATTTATTATTATGAGATTAATAGTTACTTAACTACTAGTAACTTCATTTAATATACGGCTAATACATTAGAAGAAAGGTGAAGACAAGCTCAAAACTCCTTGAAAATAGTTAGTGTATTGAAGAATTATATGGAGCATGAAGAACTGACAAGAAGCTAATCATTTTCATTGAAACGATAAATATCATGAATAAACACTACTTCTAAACTAACTCAAGTGATATATTATTACTATTATTATTACATTTACAATGGCAATATAATCGAATCAAAGTTCAATAATTTCAACAGTTGAGATCATGAGTCAATTGAAGCTAAAACACCATGGAAAACCCGGGAGCATTGGATAGCCCTTTCGTCCTAGTGTATCCTGGAATTTTAGTGAGAAGCAGTGATCAGTGGAGTTCAACTGGATCTGTTGTGAGATATTAAGTCACTGAAGACAATGGTGTATGTGTCGCTCGATTTCGTGGATTAGTTGAAGTTGGACATTAACACCGTTGGTTGCCGGTTCAGTGATCTAGTGATTAATCGCTCGCGCGTGAGAGTGATAGGTCCTGGGTTCGAACCTAGCGAGGCAGGGTCGTGAATGCGCACTGTTGAGGATCTCAAAATAGGACGAAACGGCCATCCAGTGCTTCCAGGTTTTCCATGGTGGTCTAGCTTCAATTGACTCATGATACAAAGTTCAATAAATCAAGGGAATATGCGTTTTGGCGCAAGATATAAGCATTTTACATACATAATTTCTATTCAATTATTGGTATGATATTCATGTATGGAGTAGAACTAAAATAAAATGATCTTAATGATTAATAAATTTATAAACTCCGATCATTAATAAACCATTTTATTTATTTATTTATTAAAAAAAGAATAAATCAAATTGATTTTAAATTTGATCTGATGTTTATTGTTTAAAGTTTACCATTAGAATATATTGGGAAAAAAACCCTAATGGAAATCATTATAATGTATTATATTATCTTTTCTATTACAAAAAACAGATGGGCTACTTAAAAATCAAAATGTCAAGATATACTTTTATGATAAATTTATTCAGAAATATATATGTATCTATATACATTACTTTAACTAATAATATTAGTGTCTTTCTTTATACTTCGAATAATTTTTCATCTTATTATTATTATTATTATTTATAAAGGGGACAATTTACTTTAATATATAATGTAATATAGACAAAAGGGGATGAATGTGAATGGGGCAAAAAGTTGAATTCTATAAATAACATTAATACAAAATTATATTTATTCTTAATTCGATTGTCAACTTGATAACACTTTACAGACATGAAGAAAGGCGAATAGAAATAAAAAGATATTGAGAAAAGAAATATATATATATATATATATAGTGAATAAAACTTGTAATCAGTCGCGTGACTGATTTCTTCAATATTGTACAAATAAATTTGTGTACATTTAATAGATAAAATGTAAATAAACTTTATTAAAGTAGGTGGAGTTGTTAGATTCAAATACAGCTTTTCAACAAAAGATAGTACATATATATATATATATATATATATATATATATATATATATATGGGTATATTTATTTATTTATAAAAGTATATATGTATGCCAAAGTATCTTAAAGAATACAACTTTTATTCACTAACTAACTAACTAACTAACTAACTAACTGAATGACCATTTCTAATTAATTAAACATCTTGATAACTAATGCATAATATAAATATTTCTATATAGAATAAAAATGCTAATCATAATAATCATAATGATAAAGTTGATGTACACGCAAAATAGTAGTAAATTTAACTTGTTTCTTATGAAAAGTAATAATCATTATACACTTGATTATGTTTGTTTCAGTAGTACTCAATGATATATATACGGTGAAAGTGTACATAGTTAGAAAAGCTTAATAAACCTTGTATGAAGAAATAGGTTGGTAGGAATGGTTGCGAATGTTGACAATTTTAGCGCTGATGAAATTTGATAGGTACAGGACACGATATGCAAGATATTTGCATATAATCACAGTATATATATATATATATATATATATGCTGGTAGTAATTTCTTATTCATTTGTGATTTATTAAAACAAATAAGTAAACAAATATCTTTTATTTAGAAAAAAAAATGATTAAAAGAACAAGTTAACGAAAATTTTATTTTAATATTAGATTATGGTCAAGTTTATAATTTAAAAAGAATAATGGATGAATTAATATCGAAAAATCATTTGATAATAATAAAAATAATTTAGAGAAGAAAATGTGAAGAAAAAAAGAACAAATAATAAGTTTAATGATTATTTATTACTTAGAGATTTACATTCAATGTGAACTATTTTTAATTTTAAACAAAGATGGATAGTGGCTAGCAGTGGAATCCAGGACGCGCAGTTCGTTCTATTTGGGACTCATCAGCTGGATGTACCTGCATCTCAGAGTTGATGTTCACTTTGGGACTCTAAGATGAGGCACATCCAGCTGATAAGTCCCAAATGGGACGAAACGTGTGTCGTGAATACCTCTACTAGCCACTACTCATCGTTGCTTATAATGCTTGTAAATTAAGTCAATATCAAGGCAATACACACAGTATGCACATATGCTAATAAGAGACTGATCAATTTCAGTTCTAAACATCAATGGGAAGATACAAGTAAACAATACCAAGTAAATTGTTTTTAATTTTGTTTAAATAAACACACACACACAAAACTAATTTTAATCTTTATAAGATAAAATTATGATATACGATGATCTTGAAAGGTTAAACTTGATATTGAATAAGATTTATTCATGATCAAAACTGTTTTTTAAAAACATTTTGTATAAATAATTTCATAATAGTTGACTATTAGTTGTATGAAAAACATTCAAATACAAATTGATACTTTAATATTTGAAACCTGGTAATTTTAACTTTTGATTTGATAAACCCTTTCAAATATTAGTTTACATTTTATTATTTATTATAAAACTAATTGTAACTATTGAATAGGATCATCTAAGTGATTATTGAAAATCCAAATATATTAAATGAATATCAGAAGGGGTGAATGCGCAATGCTGAGGAGTTCCATACTAGGACGAGACGGCCGTCCAGTACTTCCAGGTTTTCCATGGTGGTCTAGCTTTAATTGACTCATGATTTCAATCAGTGATATTGAATGATTGTTTAATCTCAATATAAAATTCCATATAAATATATCTCTTGTCATGAATTGAGCAGAGAACATTTCGGCACTACCTTGTAACGAGTAAGGTATCAATGAGCTAATAAATCGGAATGCAGCAGTTTAAACTTTTAAATTTCATTTGATTTTCTTTATTTAAAAAAAATTACTCTCAAATTTGTTATTTTAAGAAAATAACTTCTAATAGGTTTGTAAGCTAATTTCATTTCAGACAGTGATACTTATTACATAATTATCCTTTTTGTGTCAAACTTAAGTATGTTTGAAAGTTCTATTAAGTGACTGTTAGATAATTTTACAAACTAATTCAGAATAGTTTTAGTTAAATTATCAATTCCCGCGTTATTTATAAATTTAGTTAAATAGTTAGCTAATAAGCTCTATTCTAATGAACGACAACACAATAAGGGAAAATCGAATGTATTTGAATACAAAGTTACAGAATATCTTAGTATAATCTGAGAACCATATAGTAAATATCTAATTTGCAAAATGCCAATCAATTATCTCAAACTTCACTTTTCCTTCATTTCCGTTCAGTTTCCGTAACCTTCTGCTGCTAGATAATTCACTTCTGATTGATGATACATGCTACTAATATCTATTGACATCAGTAGTACACACCACACTATAACTTATTGATACCGATTTCAATTTTCAAATTAAATCATTTTGTAGGTGAGTTGACTAACCAAATAAAGACCACTGTGTACTACATTTTTGTCAAATTTTATAGCCAAATAAAGTGCAGTTCTGTACTCTTTAGCATAAAGCCTCTGTCTGACTAATATTGATTTTATCAGTATAGGGTTGTAGAGATTGTTGAGTGTTGAGTGAGATCATGAATGGATTAACGTTAGATCACCATTGAAAACTTGGAAACACTGGACGTCCGTTTCATCTTAGTATGAGACAATGGAAGACGGTCGTGCAATATTACGGATTGGTTGGAGTTATACACTAATACCAATCGATGCCAATTCAGTGGTTTAAAGGTTAAGCGTCTGTATGAGAGACTAAAAGTCTTGGATTCGAGTTCAGAGTGCGAGATCGTGGATGTTCACTGCTAGGGAGTCTAATACTAGTAAGAAACGACTATTCAGTGCTTCCAGGTTTTCAAGGGTGGACTAACGTCAATCCGTTTATAATACTGACTTACACTTAAAAATAATCTCATAGATTCAACTCTGAAAATATATTTTAATCAACACTGATTTGAATAATACTCATTTTTGAACTCAGTGCCAGCTTGTCAAATAGAGATTGCATACGGAAATAGAGAGAGTTGAGATATCACTTATATAATCCGAAAGTCCTTAAACTGCAACTATAAAGTTAACTGAATTTTAATTTCATAACCGATGAAAGTAAATTCATAGGTGATACTAGGTTGTGACCTCTTATCGTATTATTTGAGCATGTAGTTAGTTCACTTGATTGGATCAGAAATTCTTAACAATAATTAAGCTTTTCTGTATTTTCTTCAATACTCTATATCATTCTTTTCTTACTAACTCATGCTCATTTATGTGATTTTGTAGACTTTTTATTTCACACTCAAAGGTGAGTAACTTTAAGATGGATCGATTCAGTGGGATTTTTATTTATTTACTTGGACAAATAAATATTGGTACAAAGGAGCACCAGATACATATGCGCCGCACAAATAGTAATTTCAGTAACTTTCGTCACTTCATTTTATTTGTGTGTGGACTGTGATACTGCCTGAGCGTCTAGACCCGAGTAAGTGGTTTTCTTAGGGGGCCACACCTCGAACCTTCGACCTAAAGACCTAATCCACAAGGCAGTGGAGCAACGTAAGAAGATGCAGTTCCATGGTAGCCGGTGACCAATAATTGGTTCATACGCTATTTGTTTCCTCACGATCGTTGAGCCCATGCGCAAGATTGGTTTGGAATCAGGGTTCTCCAACTTCCATAGGTGAATACTTTTTATCCATCAACCCGGTTAAAGCACCAAACATTCACGCCATGTGAGAGCGTTTTGAGAGGGAGAGTTGACTCTCCCCACTCTCGGTCGTACCAGGGCATTTGGAGGCGAGAAGCCACTATTTGTTAAATAAGTAGAATTGGAAGTAAGATAGTGACTTGTCGATGATAATAAATAAAAACCACGTTGTGTTCCAAATCTACTGTAGTTGTATATGAACTACTGTATAATGCTTCAGTCACCATATACCAATCTAATTATCATATTCCTATTACTGGAGTCGGATTTTGTTAAATAAGCCGTTATTCGTGGTATACTGTAAGGAGATTTCATTAATGGAGGATTTATATGTCATGTTTGTTTATATTTAATGTAATTTTGTCCACTGGTTCCAGCCTATTATTAAGATCATGTTCGGTCACGATGATCTTATGTAACGAAGGGATATGGTGATTACTATACTACAACATGAAAATGTATTCTGGAAACTTATTAATTAGATTGCAGAACAATTGAAATAAGATAGAAATTAATTTTTCGTGAAGTAACTTGAACTACTTATCATCAAGAATTAAATGCATTTTTTGTGCGGGGTTGTGGATGTTTTTGAATTTCATTGAAATCATGAACAAATATAAGTTAGACTACTTCCAGGTTTTCAATAGTTATTAAACTTAGATCAATTCACAATTTCAATAAATGTATTTTTTTAAGTGATATTCACTAGGAAATAATCCTGGGCACACCACAGCTATTTAAGTTCACTTTAAGATAGAAACCGGGGTAGTTCCTTGAGTCATACTGAAAGCTAAACAATGAAGTGGTTATAATATCTTATTGCAAACCATGAAATAATCTCAATTTTACCACCAACTTCATTAAAACTGAAGTCTAAGATGATTTTCAATTCTGGTAGTTGGCAGAATCGTAACACGGAATATGTTATATTAGTACATGATTTATATTGCAACGTGTTTTCATCAGTATGTCGAAATATTTATTAACAAACAAGTTTAATCTCCTACTGTTTACAAAATATTCAGCTTATTTCTTTAGTAAAATGCAATATATTACTATATTTTTCAACAGGTAAAAGTATGGTTTCAGAATCGTCGAACGAAATATAAACGTTTGCATACAGATGGTAAAGAAATTCTAAGCGATTCGAATTCCAAAGACCAAAAATCATTATCAGATGGAGATGAAGACAGTGATGATGATGGTGATGACAATGATGATGACGATGATGAGGACGATGATGATGATGTTGATGATAAGTTAGTTAAAAGAGATGAAGAGGAAGATAATATTATGATTGAATCTATTCATCAGAATCAAAATAATTTGGAATTTCAGAATGAAACACATTCAAAACATCCAAACTCTGAATCCTCTAAAAGAATCAATATCAATACATTTCCAATACAAAATTCTTATTCTATTACAGAAAATAAACAATTTAGTCCTTCGAAAGAATGTCAACAATATCTTGATAATTCAAGATTAAACAATCAAAGGATTAATGATTTATCAGAAATATCCAAAATAAATGATTATACAAAATACACTTGGAATTCATTGAAACAAATACATGAAAATTTAAATACAAACACTGGAATAGAACGAAAACAATCGTCTATTTTACATTCATCACAACATTTATTAAATTCAGTAAATCAAAATCTAAATTATTTACAACATTCTTGCAGATAAACATTTTAAATTATATATATATATATATATATATATATATATATATATATATATATATATATATATATATATATATATATATATATATATATATATATATATATATATATATATATATATAGAAGAAAATACAAATAATTTTGCAATCAATTACTTGTTTAACTCATTTCTTGTCTTTGAAAAAAAAAGAACCATGGTTAATTTCCAGTTATCTTGTTACTATGGTATATTCGTCTTAAATATACATTTATGCATATTTTAAATTGATATGTAATAATGGTCAATTATGTAAGTATCATTTACCTTTATCTTTATATACAAAAAAGAATTGATTTATTCACTTAAGATATAACTTTATCGTAAAAAAATTGACTAAAGGATTCATTTTTTATAAAGTTCATTACTTTCTAATTGTATTAATCATATTCACTAATATTAATACTGATATTCTATGAAATAGATTAAAACAAATCATATCGTTTTGTAAAAAAAATTTACTTCTTTGAAAAAACAAAACAACAACAAAAAAAACAGAAAAAATAAAAGATGAAGTTTTTCCTGTTTTACTTTTCTGTTGATGGGTTATCCATTTAAACTAATCATAATTATCTTTAGAAGCAGCTAGTTATTTATTGAAGAATCATTGAAAAACTACAGAATAATATAAAACACTTTTGACTGTAGTTTATTAAACTTTAAAAAAATTGTATAAACTATATCTGAAGGGGTTTTGTGGAGATTTTAGAAATTTCACTGATTGAAATCATGAGTCAATTGAAACTAGACCACCATGGAAAACCTGGAAGTACTGGACGGCCGTTTCGTCCTAGTATGGGACTCCTCAGCAGTCCGCATCCGCGATCCTGCACCCTACGGTGTTGCAACTTCGTGGATTGGTCGAAGTTAGACATTAAGACCGTGGGATGCCGGCCCAGTGGTCTAGTTGGTTAAGCGCCTGACGAGAGACTGATAGGTCCTGGGTTGGAGTCTCGCAGGGGAGACGAGATCGTGGATGCTCACTGCCAAGGAGTTCCATACTAGGATGAAACGTCTATCCAGTGCTTTCAGGTTTTCCATGGTGGTCTAGCTTCAATTAACTCATGATTTCAATCAGTAAACTATATTTGTTTTATTATTGAATATCAAAGCTCATTGATTTGATTGTACTGTTATAAATTAAGTTATATAGAAAATGAGTTTATGCCGTGATATAAAAAACAGGTTACTTTACAATGATAGAATGTGAAAATATATAGAATATAAGAAAATACAAACAGTCATTCAATGATCTTAATTTCTGATTGTTTATTAGGTGTCATCGGATATTTCTATAAAGTACTTTTCAATAAACTAAAAGAAGGATACATGATGAATGCGAAGATTAGAAAGAATCCAACAACCGATATACTTATTAGTATAAGTTGTCATTATAAATTGTAGAATAAAAGTTGATAAATTAAACGAAATTTCTAGGCATTGAATTCAAACCTGTGAAATGTCATCAATAAAACATTATTGTTAAATTCTAGATTAAGATAAACTGAGAGTCTAAACCTTTTTTTATTTATTCATGAATAATTTACCAGCTAACATCAATTGGTAATGAAAAGAACTTTTGAGAATAAGATCTGTTATTACTGATAAATACTAATTATACTTAGATTTTTGATGCCATTTGAAAAATTTAGGATTTATCTTATAGAATTTCAGATGAGTTAGATTTTAAGTGCCTGAAGAAACGACAATGGTTTTCAGAGGGAATTGAAAAACCATAATATTTTACCTGACAATTAGTTTAGAAAATATATTTCATTTAAAACATGGAATCATTTTCTTATTTAGTCTTGGAGAAGTGTTTACTTCTAAGGAGTTTGAAACTAATATCGAATAGCTATGTGATATTTCCTATAAATCAGTGTAAGTTTTGTTAAGCAATAGATATTTTATTGAATGAAAGTGATTCGATACATCTACTCAATAAAAGAGAACACACTATTTAGAAAAGTGATAAATTAGAATAAATAAAACGAAATTTCATTCACATGAACTTACAATCGACCTATTTTATCAAAAGAAAGCAATCTAAATGCTTGATTGTAATGGAATACTTATTAAAACTTTCAGTATTCGGAATGATAAATTAATGTTATCTCAGAACATTAAAAGTTCATTACATCAAAGATCTTGAATTCGGTTATATAATCAACATTAGAACATACTGTTAAGAATTCAAAGTAGATTAATATTAACTGATTAAGATCATGAGTCAATTGAAGTTAGCTCACCATGGAAAACCTGGAAGCACTGGACGGCCGTTTCGTCCTATTGTGGGACTCCTCAGCAGTGTGCATCTACGGCCCTGCCTCGTTGGGTTCGAGCCCAGGACCTATTAGTCTCGCGTCAGGCGCCTAACCAACTAGACCACTGAGCCGGCAACCAATGGTGTTCATGTCTAACTTCAAGTGATCCACGAAATTGGGCGATACATCCAATATTGTCTTTAGTGAGCTAATATCTCACAACAGACACGGTTGAATTCCACTGATCACTGCTTCTCACTAGAACTTCAGGATATATTAGAACGAAACGGCCGTTCAATGCTTTTAAGTTTTCCATGGTGGACTACTAGATTCAATTGACTCATCATTTCAACTATTTAAATTACTACCATCTCCACAAAACCCTTTCTGATACTAATATTAAATGAATATTTGATTAATAGTGGTTTACAAAGATAATTACTTAAATAACGATCAAAATCTATGAGGCCATTTCACCAATCTTTGTTCTTGCTGTCTCTAAGATTATAAAGAGAACTGTGTATACATAGTATTTACATTAGTGAAAATAAACATCACTCAAACAAGTGGATATGGAAAAAGTTTCCTTACTTCAGTTAAAGCAAAGTTTTAGTTATTGTTCTTTTTTTTTCTATTTTAAAAAAGACCAACTTTATCATTCATTAATTCCGTTAAAATTATTGGTTAATATTTAATTAAATAGCCTTTTTTAATTTTAGACTTCAATGTACTGTTGATGGGATGGGACTATTAATTATGGACAATCTTTGAGTGACACTGAAGTGACCTCGAGAACATCCACCTGCTTATTTCGGCTAAATGATGGTTATAAACGTGTGTGAATAATTAAGGATTATAATTTATAGTTGATGGTTGGGGTGAGGAATTATTAGAATTACGGTTTTCATCACGAATTGGCATAGGCTAAAATGTCAAACCGCTATTTAGCTTAATGGATGAATGAATTTCACGCCAAAACCCAAAAGTAGTTATCTTATTTTCGATTGGTCAGTCCATAAATTATAGTCTCGCTGTTGATGGCGTAAATTTATTTAAATGAATAGTTCTGTTGGGTCTGTAGTCATAGATGATTTGATGATACATGTCAGTGTCAAACACCGTCTATACCACATCTCTTTTATACTTACATATTGTATAAATCATCTAGAAATCATAGTTTTTTCCATATCAACATTTATTTGTAAGCATTTACTAGTACGATATTGAATGACGACTCATTTAAAGAGAAGAGTCAATCCTATTATAGATTTTCAGGGTATATATTAACAATTTAGTAAGAAGGTTTAAGAGAAAATTATTCACTTAGATATAGTTATAACTAGTTCAGTTTTCCAAGTGATCTCATAATCTCAACTATTGAGGTTAGTTTTCATCAATATTTTCTTTAAACACTCGAATATACTTATATGATTTCAAGTTTTATTACTTAGTACTTAACTGAGATTATTGGGTATTTTAATAAAGTTAAATGTTCGAGTTCCCGCGCGAGACCGAAGTTCCTGCGTTCGAGTCCCGCTTACGGGATCATGAATGCGAACTGCTGATAAGTCTCCTATTAGAACGAAACAGTCATCTAGTGCTTCCAGGTTTCACTGGTGGTCTAACATTGATCAGTTCATGAATTCGATTAAAAAGTTATACGTTTCAATGTTTCGCTCAGCTTCCAGATGTCCTATAATAATGAAAACGATTCATTATATTATCCTTTAGCAAGTTTTCTGACACCGTTCTAAATGCTACGCAGAAGATATGGTTCATTACAATATTCGGCTTGGTAAATTAGTGCTCGTAACATAGGAAAGTTTAATAAATGTATCATCGTCACTATTTAAAGTTAAAACCTCGCATTACACCATGTGGCAGCTGTCTATTAAATTAAAACCGATAATAATTATGGTTAAGTAGTGAAGCCTAATAAAATAATATGTAGATTAATAGTCTATTAAATGTTAGCAGTTGTGATCCTTTCGATTTATTAGAACTGAACGAAATATATCAATCAGACTGCACTGTAGCCATCAGGCTAAGTAAGTGATTGTTTCTGTAGACTTGAATGATATTATATAATACGAGGCAATAGACTGGAGTCCTTGTTAATGGGTGCAAGCTAAGACAAAAGAACTTTCTTTTGGATACTTCCGGTTAATTGTCTCTTACTGTGTTACTCTAAGAAAAGGAAGATAAAATGATTGTTCATTAGGCTAAATCGTCACCTTAATTCAACGAAATTAACTACTATCCGATGCCTAAATAGTGTAAGTACTTTAGAATAATAGGTGACCATTCATAAACTGTAAAGCTAAACGGTAATACCACTGATTGTAAAAATGGCTTACATGCACTCAAACTTCATGCAAAGCATTGATTTCCTGATACCTGCAAATGTGCCATGTTGATAAGGGTTAACAAATATGAAACTCAAGTTCAAAGCATCTTTTCAAATGATTTGAACCATTTTACACCAAGATAAAAAAACTGTTTTGATAATTCGTCAATCAGTAATGAAAAGACTGATTAATGACCAAACAACAGGTTAATTTTACAATTTATTTAACTAATTCTCATTTGTTATGATATTAGTTACTGTATCGTCTATTGTTTATTTCTGTTTAAATGATCAATCGTGATGATCTAACTGAGTAAATTTGTTCAATGTCAATTATTTACTTTTTTTCTAAT